CTTCACAGACTACTCCAAAATGATGGAAGACTCGCAAACTCTTTTTATGAAGCCAGCATCATCCTAATCCCAAAACTAGATAAAGACACAACAAAGAAAGAAAACTTCAGGCCAATATTGCTGATGAACATAGACATTAAAATCCTCAACAAAATATTGGCAAACTGCATCCAACAATACATTAAAAAGATCATACACCATGACCAAGTGGGATTCATCCCAAGGAAGCAAGGATGCTTCAATATTCACAAATCAGTAAATGTAATACATCACATAAACAAAAGCAAAGACAAAAATCACACGATCATATCAATAGATGCAGAAAAAGCATTTGAAATGTACAGCACCCATTTATGATAAAAAACACTCAGCAAAGTGGGAATAGAAGGAGCATTCCTCAACATAATAAAGGCCATATATAAGAGACCTACAGCCAACATCATACTCAATGGGAAAAAACTAAAATCTTTTCCACTAAAATCAGGAACAAGACAAGGTTGTCCACTTTCACCATTTCTACTCAGTATAGTATTGGAAGTTTTAGTCACCATGATCAGACAAGAAAAGGAAATACAAAGCATTCAAATCAGAAAGGAGGAAACAAAACTGGCATTGTTTGAAGATGACATGATAGTGTACATAGAAAACCCTATAGACTCTGCTAAGAAACTGCTCGACCTAATAAATGAATTTGGCAAAACAGCGGGATACAAAGTCAATATCCAAAAATCAAAAGCATTTTTGTATATCAACAATGAAACAACAGAAGCAGAAATTTTAAAAAATCCCATTCAATATAGCAAAAATAAAAACAAAATACCCAGTAATAAAACTAAACAAAGAGGTAAAAGACAGTATTCAGAAAACTACACAACACTGAAGAAAGAAATCAAGGAAGACACAAACAAATGGAAAGATATATCGTGTTCATGGACTGGAGAATTAATGTCCTCAAAATGTTCATACTACCCAAAGCAATTTACAGATTCAATGCAATACCTATTAAAGTACCAATGGCATATTTTACAGACATAGAGCAAACACTTCAAAAATTTATATGGAACCATAGATGACCCCAAATAGCTGCTAATATTTTGAGAAAGAAGAATAAAGTAGGAGGGATCACAATACCTGATACCAAACTGTATTACAAGGTCACTGTAATCAAAACAGCCTGGTACTGGCATAAAAACAGACACATGGACCAATGGAACAGAACAGAGAGCCCAGAAATAAGCCCAAGTCTCTATGGTCAATTAATATTCAACAAAGGGGGTAACAACATAAAATGGAGTAAAAATAGCCTCTTCAACAAATGGTGTTGGGAGAACTGGACAGCTACATGAAAAAAAAAAGAAAAGAAAAATGAAACTCAAGCACCAATTTACACCATACACAAAAATAAACTCAAGGTGGATAAAAGATTCAAATATAAGCCGTGACACCATTAAAGTCCTAGAGGAGAGCATAGGCAGGACAAACTCAGATATTTCACACAGAAACATTTTTACTGATATGTCCCCTAGAGCAAAGGACATAAAGGAAAAAATAAACAAATGGGACCTCATCCTAATAAAAAGCTTCTGCATAGCTAAAGAAAACAGTATTAAAATAAAAAGAGAACCAACCATATGGGGAAACATATTTGCCAATGATACCTCAGACATGGGTTTAATCTCAAAAATATATAAATAACTTACATGACTCCACTCTAAGAAGACAAGCAACCCAATTAAAAAATGGGCAAAGGACTTGAACATACACTCCTCCACGGAGGACATACAAAGGATCCAGAGACACATGAAATGATGTTCAATATCGCTAGCTATCAGAGAGACGCAAATCAAAACCACAGTGAGATACCACTTCACACCAGTCAGAATGGCCATCATAAACAAAGCAACAAACAAGTGTTGGAGAGGTTGTGGAGAAAAGGGAACCCTAGTGTACTGTTGGTGGGACTGCAGACTGGTACAACCACTATGGAAAACAGTATGGTATTTCCTCAGAAAACTAAAACTGGATCTGCCTTTGACCCAGCAATTCCACTGCTGGGATTATATCCTAAGAACCCTGAAACACCAATCTAAAAGAACCTATGCACCCCAATGTTCATAGCAGCACAATTTACAATAGCCAAGTGCTGGAAGCAACCTAGATGCCCATCAGTAAATGAATGGATCAAAAAACTATGGTACATTTACACAATGGAATTCTATGCAGCAGAAAAAGAAGGAGCTCCTACCCTTTGTGACACCATGGATGGAACTGGAAAGCATTATGTTAAGTGAAATAAGCCAGGCGGTAAAAGACAAATACCATATGATCTCACCTTTAACAGGAACCTAAACAACAAAACAAAGAAACAAGCAAAATATAACCAAAGACACTGAAATAGAGAACAGGCTGACAGTGACCAGAGGGAAGAGGGGAGGGTATTTCAGGGGAATTTCCAGGGAAAAGGGGGAGGGTTTACAGGAACAAGTATAAAGGACATATGGACAAAAACTAGGGGGCATGGAAATGGGAGGGATGTGGAGAGGGCTGGGTGGGTGGGCCGGGATGGGAGTAAAAGACAGAAAACTACTTGAACAACAATTAAAATAAAATAAAGTAAAAAAAGAAATACACCACCATAGCAAAGGACATTACAATCAAATTTCTTAAAACCAGTAATAAAGAAATAAACAAACAAAGCTTAAATGTAGCCAAGGGGATGAAAACCCACTACATATAGAGGAAGAAATAATGATAGTAATATTTCATCAGAAACAACAGAAGTCAGAAGTTAAAGTGTTCTTTTTGGGGGAAGTTAGGGGGATGCTATTTTTTAATTTTACTTTTAAAAATATATTTTATTGATTATGCTATTACTGTTGTTCCTAGGTATCCCTCCTGATTTTTATCCACCTTGCTTGGATGTGGGGCCACTCTTTCCCATCTCCATGCCTCTACATGCCAATCCACATCTTCAGCCCTCTCTGTGTCTCTTTTCCTCTCCATGCCACTCCATGTCTCCACCCCTCCTACCCATCTGGATGAATGTGCCGCCTTTAAATCTTTGGTTGCTGGACTTCCACTCAGCTTGATTTTCTGACAATTCTAGTGGATATTTGTTTTGTGGTCTAGTTGCCTTTTTTTGCTATATTTGTGCAAAGAAGGAAGGCATACTTATGGGCTAAAACATTCTTACTGTACAAGAAAGGGTAGAGTGTAAGTTAGAAACTTGGATTTACACAAATAACAGAATGAAAACACTGAAATAATGAAAATGGGAAATATATGTGCAAATATTTTTCTTTTAAATTTTATTTAAAATATGATTACTTAGCTTTTTAAAGGGGAAATAATCACAATGATTATGAGTTTTATAACACATAGAAATAAGGTACCTTACAACTTTAGGACAAAGATTGGGGAAGGAACAAATGCAAGTATTCTTTGTAAGGTTCTTATATGTGTAGTGATATAATATTATTTGAATATAGGCTGATAAGTTAAACATGTAAATCTTAGAAATAACACAAATTTAAATTTAAAAAATTCAAACAAAACCAAAAATAAGGCAGCATTTTAAAACAGGAAGAATGAACAATAGGGTATATAGAAAATAAAGAGCAAGGTGGAAAATTTAAATGTGTACATTTAATAAATCACATTCAATGTTAATGGTCTACACATGCCAAGTAAAAGAGATTCTTATAAAGGATAAAAATTCTTTAATCTCAAAAAAAAACCCCAACCTTTTCAAACAGACACAAATAAGTAAAAGGTTGAACAATGAAAAAATACTATGTTACCAAAAGTCAAAGGAATGCTGGAGTGGTTATGTTCATATCAGACAGAGAAGATTTTAGAATACAAAATTTTTATAGGTTTAAAAGTTATTATTTTATAATGATGAAGTAGTCAGGCTTTTAAAAAGATATGGTAATCCTAAATACTATGTACTACTAACAATGTCAAAAATATATACAGCAAAAACTGATAAAACTGAAAGAAGAAACAGACAAATCTACAAATATAACCAAAGATTTAAGTAATCAATAGAGCACTTAAAAACACTACTGACAAAACAAATTAACAAACAAAAAAACCACTACTGACCAGTTTGACCTAATTGTCATTTATGGAACACTCCAGCCAACATTAAAAAGTACACTTTCTTTTTAAGTGTATATAGGGTATTTACCAAGACAGACCATACTTTTTTGCCATAAAAAATTTTCAAAAAATTTAAAAGGGTTGAAATCATACAAAGAGTATTCTCTAACCACAATAGAAAAATAATTAGAAATCAAAAAGACAGCTGAAAAATCCCAGAATATTCGGGGACTAAACAAAACATCTAAATAAGCTCCTAAGTCAACAAAGTTACCAGAAGGAAATTAAAAAGGTATTTTAAACTTAATGAAAATGAAAGCATTGTGTATCAAAATTTGTGGGATGCAGTTATCAACAATGCATAGAGAAAATTTTATAGCTTTAAATACTTCTAATAGGGAAGTATAAATATTTAAAGCCAGATATCTAAACTTACACCTTAGAAACTTAAAGAAGAAAAGCAAACTAAACCCAAAATGAGGAGAAATAGTAAAGATTAGTGCAGAAATTGAAATGGAGAATATGTAAACAGAGAAAATCAATTGAAAGCTGGTTCTTTGAGGAGAGCCCTATAACTCAATAAACCCCTACTCAGACTGATTAGAAAAAAGGAGGGTGGAGGAGGAGGAGAGAGAGAGAGATAGGTGAAATCACTATTGGTGCTTCAGATATTGAAAGAATAATAAGGAAATACTGTGGACATCTTTACCTGGGCACCTCTTTCTTAGGGCAAAACATCCTCAATCGAGCCTAAATGTGAGGAGGGCTCAGATAATTATGCTTTATGGCTGTCTCCAAATGAATTTAGAGTTTTATGAATTAGAAATGTATATCTTAATTTAAACTTTAAATAACTTTACTAGAAATATAAATGCTGCAACTTTTTATAATTTTAGGTATATATCAATTTTTAAGACAGCTATAAAGGAGGACATGCAAAAATCTAAAACTGCAATGAAAACTATGGGACCACCAAAAGTTGAAGTTCCTTCTCCAAAGGATTTCCTGAAGAAACATTCAAAGGAAAAAACTCTACCACCCAGTAGGTTTTATCACTCTTTTTAATATTAATAATGTTAACAGGTAATTTAACTAAAATTATTTTATTGTTTATAAATATCAAATATGCACAGATAATAGCAATGCTACCTCATATTAAACATAATTTCAGAGGCTAAAATAAAGTAGAAGAAAAGAATGTATAGACATAGAGAAAAGAGAATATTAATTTGCTCCCAAAATAGACTTTCTTTTTGGTAGTCAAGCACCTTGAACTACCTCTTAGGCCATCCAATAAAGCCCCACCTCCAGCACCACATACCCCTCAGTCCTAGTCATTAGCTATATGATTTCATTGACAATTATAAGAAGAGTTCTAAACCCCAATGGGCAGAGTCTCTTCCCCAAGAGATGAAAACTACAAGCATTATTATCAATTGTTAAAGCAATGACTGTGAGTTTGAATATGGGTTTAGATCTCCAAGACCTCTAAAACCATTAAAACAACAATTTGGATGCCTTAATGAACGAGTGGTAGACAGAGTCAGTTCTTGGACATGTTACATGTGGAGTCACACAGGGCCTTGTGCTTAGAAGGATCCCAAGCTTGGTTTAATGTTCTGCTTTTGCCATCTTGAAATTTTTGATAATTTTTAACGAAGGAGCACCACATTTTTATTTTGTACTGGGTCTCACAATTTGTGTAATTAATCATGGTCATAGAGTATATAGATATCAGGAAAGAATGCTATCAGAAAAATGGAGAGTGAATGAAAAGGGCAGCTTCTTCCTACCTTTGGTATGTCTTCACTATTGCTTTAGGACAAGAAAGATGAGAGGAAAAGGAGACTATCTCTTTTCAAAAGTTAACCTTTTTATGTCTTCTGGTGTCAAGCAAATAATACAACATCTCAAGCCCAGCTAGGGTGTACCTTTCGATAAAAGTGAAACTACTTCTCCTTATGTCCATGTGTTATGTCCCATAATCCTTTCTCATAACCCATATGCCATAACAAAAGATAAGAGGGCATTATCAGGAAAGATGGACAAGCAAGCCTGAAAATATACATTCATGCTTAAATTTGTGTATTTAAAATTTTATTTTGTATGTTCCTCAAGTGGAGTCTTGGTGTTTTGTGACCCACAACCACTTGAGAACACAAGAAAATGTTAAAATGGAACTAGATTTTTTCAATGCCTTAGGGCCAATGATATTACTTGGGTCCTCATATATTCTTCTCTAGGGTCAAGCATATTATATAAAACAACTACCAAACTATGTAGATCCTAAGTATAAAATAAAGAAAAAGGGAAGAATCCTATATATCCTCTTGTAAACATTATAAGGTAAATAAACATAAAATTTCATAGGCCTTAAGAATAATTAAGAGGTTCAATTTTTCATGAGATAAACTCAGTGAGATAAAGTTAAAGATAATATATCCCAAGGCTGCTGCCAATTTCTTTTTGAATATTCTGCCATTTTGAACATAATTTTGGAGACAGTAATTTGCTAGACACACTGAAAAAACTTGACAGATACATGAACATTTCTCTAAACTCAGCTGATAGGACAGACATCTGCATGACAACAAGGGTATGTTGGCTTTTCCATTTTCACATAGCCTGATAAAACCAAACCATTTGGCTCACAGATTTATTATCACTACCAACAAATAATTTGTGAAGAAATGTTAGCACCCCCTTTTTCACACCTCACCACATAGTCAACCCCTACTCCTGGGGTGAGAGACTAGATGATATTTAGATAAGTATAACATAAGGGAAAAGTGGGGGTAGGATTAAGGCACCATCAGCTGGACAACCACAAATAACCATGAGTTATAATTTACTCTACTTACTCACCCAAGAATGAATTATTAATCTTTATAAATAGTTTCCTCATTTTCTGAGAATTCAGTTTTACTTCTTACACAATACATTAATAAAGATATAGATTCTCTTATAGGAGTCATTTTCAAATTTATCCATGTGAATATCTAAAAAACAGATACCCCTTATTTTGTAGTCAAACAAATCATGCAGAGCTTATTTGGTTAGGTGTATGTGGTGGAAGAAAACTACTTGGGTTCCACAATAAGGTTTTATTCTGTGCTCCAACCTATATAGAATCTCCATAATATGAGTCACCTAAAATGGGGAAACAAACAAAGAACCTGCAATCAAAACAAATAGAAGAATCCCCAGTAAAAGAGCTAAATGAAATGGAGGCAAGCAAGCTATCAGACATATAATTCAAAAGAATGGTTATAAGGATGTCAAGGAACTCAGTGAAAACTACAGAGAACTGAGTGGTAACTACAACAGCATGAAAAAGGAAACAGAAACTATAAATAATAACCAGGAAGAAATGAAGAATACAATATCTGAAATAAAAAATACACTAGAAGGAATCACAAGAAGCCTGGATGAATCAGAGGACTGAATTATTCAGCTGAAAGACAAGGTAGAAAGAAATACCCAGATAAAGCAGCAGCATGAAAAAAAGGACTCAAAAAGTATGAGGATAGCTTAAGGGAACTTCAGGACAACATGAAATTCAAGAACATTTGAATCATAGGAACACCATCAGGAGAAGAAAAGGAGCAAGGGATAGAAAACTTGTTTGAAAAACTAATAACAGAAAACTTCCCTAATCTGGAGAGGGGAAAATCCATGAAAGTTCAGGAAACACACAGGATCCCAATCAAGATGAACCCAAAGAGACATACTCCAAGATACATCGTAATTAAAATGCCAACATTTAAAGAGAAAGACAGAATCTTAAAAGCAGCAAGAGAGAAACAGATAGCATCATACAAAGGAGCTCCAATAAGGCTAATAGCTTACTTCTCAACAGAAACACTACAAGCCAGAAAGGAATGGTAAGAAATATTACAAGTAATAAAAAGCAAAGCCTGCAAACAAGACTACTCTATGCAGCAAGGCTCTCAATTAAAATGGAAGGTGAAATAATGAGTTTCCCAGACAAAAGAAGACTAAAAGAATACACCTCCTCCAAACCAGCTTTGCAAGATATGTTAAAGAGATTGCTTTAAGAAGATGAAGAAAAAGAGTGAGAGAGAGAAAGGAACACAGGTACAAAGGGGAGAAATAGCAATGAATAAGTACCTATCAATAATAAACTTAAATATAAATGGATTAAGTGCTCCAATCAAAAGATATAGAGTAGCTAAATGGATAGAAAACATGACCCACACATATGCTGCCTACAAGAAACCCACCTCAAAACAGAAGACCTACACAAGCTGAAAGTGAATGGTTGGAAAAAGATATTCCAAACAAATGGACAGGGAAGAAAAGCTGGGGTTGCAATACTTATATCAGACAAAATAGACTTCCAAATAAAAGCCATAAAAAGACACCCAGAAAGACACTTCATAATACTCAAGGGAAGAATCCATTAAGAAGATGTAAACATTGTAAACATATATGCACCCAACATAGGAGCACCCAAATATATAAGGAAAATCTTGCAGGACTTCAAGAAAGATATAGACAGACACACTTATAGTAGGGGATTTTAACACCACACTGTCAACAATGAATAGATCTTTCAAACAAAAGGTCAACAAGGATATTGCAGCACTGAACAATGCCCAGATCAAATGAACTTAACTGATATATATAGAACCTTTCATTCCAAAGAAGCAAAATACACATTCTTTTCAAATGCAAATGGAGTATTTTCAAAGATAGACCACATGATAGGGCACACAACAATCCTCAACAAAATCAAGAAAATTTAAATTATATCAACTATTTTCTCAGATCACAAGGGCTTGAAAATAGAAACCAACTTCAAGGAAAAAAAAACAAAAAAACAATCAAATTCAATTCATGGAAATTGAATAGCATGCTATTAAACAATGGATGGGTTAATAATGAGATCAAGAAAGATATCAAAAAGTTTCTGGAAACCAATGAAAATGAATACACAACAGTCCAAAACTTATAGGACACAGTGAACGCAGCCCTAAGACAGAAGTTCATAGTAATACACCCAAAATACAAAAGATAGAAATATTTCAAGTAAACAGCCTAAACAAGAACTGGAGGTACAACAACAAATAAAGCCCAGGGTAAGTAGGAGGAAGGAAATAACCAAGATCAGAACAGAAATAATGACATAGAGACTAACAGAACAATTCAAAGGATAAATAAATCTTTGAAAAGATAAAGAGGACAAGTCTTTAATCAGACTCATCAAGAAAAAAAGAGAGAGGACCAAAATAAACAAAATCAGAAATGACAGAGGAGAGATTATAACTGACACCACAGATATACAAAGGATTGTAAGAAATTACTATGAACAACTACATGCCAAGAAATTTGAAAACCTGGGTGAAACAGAAAAATTTCTAGAAAAACATAAACTTCCAAAACTGAATTGAGAAGAGGCAGAAAGCCTGAACAGACTGAAAACAAATAGTGAAATTTAAGCAGTAAACAATAAACTCCTGGCACACAAAAGCCCTGTACTGGACAGTTTCATAGAAGAATTTTACAAAACACTTATGGAAGAACTAACCCATGTCTTTCTCAAACTATTCTAAAAAATCCAAGAAGAGGGAAGACTTCCAAGCTCTTTTTATGAGGCCAGCATCATCCTAATCCCCAAAACAGATAAAGACACAACAAAGAAAGAAAACTATAGGACAATATTGCTGATGAACATAGACACTAAAATACTCAATAAAATATTGACAAACTTCATCCAGCACTACATTAAAAAGATCATACACCATGATCAAGTGGGATTCTTCCCAGGGTTGCAAGGATGACACAATATTCACAAATCAATAAAATTAATAGATCACATGAACAATACGAAAGACAAAAATCACATGATCATATCCATAGATGTGGAAAAAGCATTTGGTAAGGTACAGCACCCATTTATGATAAAAACACTTAGCAAAGTGAGAGTAGAGGAAGCATATATCAACATAGTAAAGGCCATATACAAGAAACCTACAGCCAACATCCTCAATGGGCAAAAACTAAAAGCTTTCTCACTAAAATCAGGAACAAGACAAGAGTGTCCACTTTCACCACTCTTATTTGACACAGTCCTGGAAGTTCTAGCCACAGTGATCAGACAAGAAAAAGAAATAAAAGTCATCCAAATTGGAAAGGAGGAAATAAAACTGTCGTTTGCAGATGACATGATAATGTATATAGAAAACCCTATAGATTCCACCAAAAAACTACTCAACCTAATAAGGGAATTTGGCAAAGCAATGGGATACAAAGTCAATATTTAGACATTGAAGGCATTTTTATACACCAACAATGAAATATCAGAATCAGAAATTGGGGGGGAATCCCATTTCCTATAAACTATGTAAAATAAAGTACCTAGGAATAAACCTAACCAAGGAAATAAAAGACCTATACTCAGAAAACTACACAACACTGAAGAAAGAAATAAAGGAAGACACAAATAAATGGGAGCATATACCATGTCCATGGATTGGAAGAAATAACATCATCAAAATGTCCATACTACCCAAAGTAATCTATAGATTCAACGCAGTCCCTATCACAATACCAATGAAATATTTCACAGATATAGAACAAACATTTCAAAAATTTATATGGAACCATAAATGACCCCAAATAGCCTCAGCAATTTTTAGAAAGAAGAACAAAGTAGAAAGAATCATAATACCTGTTATCAAACTATATTAGAAGGCCACTGCAACTGAAACAGTCTGGTACTGGCATAAGAACAACACATAGATCAATGGAACAGAATAGAGATCCCAGAAATAAACCCATGTCTCTATGGTCAGTTAATATTCAACAAAGGGGTCAGGAGCATAAAATCGAGTAAAAATAGTGTCTTCAACAAATGGTTTTGGGAGATTTGGACACCTACATGCAAAAAATGAAACTCAAGATGGATAAAAGATTTAAGTATAAGTCATGACACCATAAAAGTCCTAGAAGAGAACATAAGCAGGAAAATTTCAGATGTTCCATGCAGCAATATTTTCACCAATTTTTTTCCCTAGAGCAAGGGACATAAAGAATAAACAAATGGGATTTCATCAAATTAAAAAGCTTCTGTATGGCTAAAGGAAACATCAGCATAATGAAAAGGGAACCAAATATATGAGAACATATATTTGCCAATGATACCTAGGACAAGGGTTTGAGCTCCAAAACATATAAAGAACTCACACAACTCCACATCAAGAAAACAAACAATCCAATTAAAAAATGGGCAAAGGACCTGAACAGACACTTTTCCAAGGAGGGCATACAGAGGGCCCAGAGACATATGAAAAGATACTCAGCATCACTATCCATCAGTGAGATACAAATTAAAGCCACAATGAGAAACCACTTCACACTAATCAGAATGGCCACCATAAACAAATCAATAAACAACAAGTCCTGGTAAGGGTGTGGAGAAAAGGGAACCTTAGTACACTGTTGGTGGGAATGCAGACTGGTGCAGTCACTTTGGAAAACAGTATGGAATTTCCTCAAAAAACTAAAAATGGAACTGCATTTTGACCCAGCAATACCACTGCTAGAATTAAATCCTAAGAATACTGAAACATCAGTTCAAAAGAACCTATGCACCCCAGTGTTCATAGCAGTGTTATTTACGGTAGCCAAATGCTCGAAACAGCTTAAGTACCCATCAATAAATCAGTGGATCCAAAAACTGTGGTACATTTACACAATGGAATACTACACAGCAGAAAGAAAGAAGGTATGTCCTGTCCTACCCTTGTCATGCCCTACCCTTCATGACAGCATGGATGGAACTGGAGAGCATTAAGCTATGTTAAATAAACCAGATAGTGAAAGACAAATACCACATGATCTCACCTATAAGTGGAACCTAATCAACAAAACAAACAAATGAGCAAAATAGAATCAGAGACATGGAATAAAGAACAAACTGACTAACCAGAGGGGTGGGGGGAGGGGGGATAATGGGAAAGAAAGTGAAGGGTCATCAACAAACATTTATAAAGGACCCATGGACAAACACAATGGTGGAGGGGGGAGGATTGAATGTGGCAGGTGACAGTGGATAGGGCAGGAAAGAGTAATGGAGGGAAAATAGGGACAAATGTAATTGAACAATAAAAAAAAGAAACTCCATAATTCAGTTTCTAACAGTGCTCATAACACCTCAGTAATTCTTTAAACAAGAAGAAGATATGATTTTTGTAGGTCAAAAACAGTAAACAATTTCACATATGGTTCAACTAAACATATACATTATAGTCTACATATTAGATTTTATTTTTTCTTCCCCCCACTATAATGTAAACTCCATGAGCACAGGAACTTTGTCTCTTTTCACTGCTGTAAATGCAGTTCCTAGAGCATTATTTGAGACATAGTAATTGCTCAGTGAAAATATATTGCATGAATTAATGAATAAATGAATATTCAAAACTGCTTTATAATGTTCCTGGGCATATAGATAGAACTAATATCAGAGGTGTATTAGTTTGCTGGGGCTCCTATAACAAAGTATCACAGACAGGGTCCCTTAAACAAATTTACTTTGTCACAATTCTGAGGGCTAGATCCAAGATCAAGGTGTTGTCAGGGTTGGTTTGTTCTAAGGCCTCTCTTCCCTAGTAGATGACAGTCTTTTTCCTCTCTCTTCACATGGTCTTCCTTCTGTGTTTGTCTTGGATTAGGACCCACCCTAATGACCTCATTTTAATTAAAGTACCTCTTTAAAGATCCTGTGTCCAAATACAGTCACATTCTGAAATAGTAAGGGTTAGGTCTTGAACATATGAATATTGGAGGAAGACAATTCAACCCATAACAAGAGGTTAATCCAGTCCACAGACTTTTAATAATATGTACAGGGCAGGGCAAAAGTAGGTTTACAGTTGTGAGTATGCAAAACTCTTTATTCTTGTATTGTTATTTATTAATTATAGTATTATTTATTTGTATTACAACTGTAAACCTACTTTTACCCCACTCTGTATTTTTTATAATAAAAATTATATGAACTCATAAAAAGCTCCAACAATGCAGAAATAAAGTCAAATTTCCTAATATGATGGGATTAAGATTCAAGTAATGTTTTTCAAGACAGTTGTGGCCTTTAGCTCTTGGAAATAAATTGTAATTTTTTTACATTTTAATATTTTTACAAACCATTTAATTTGGCTCTATCAAAATAGATTAATTGGAATATTCAAGTTAAACAGACTATATGAAAATGGACCGTTTCTCCTGCTGCTAAGGAAAAGAATTTTGTATAGAGAAGTAAAATAATTGTGGAGAGCAGTATTTTTAGGAAGTAAGATACAATCAGAGTGGAGTGATATTGGAAACTTCACTTATATTGGTAATGTTTTATTTGTTAAGCTGCATGTTGAATACATAGTTATTATATGATTTTTATGGCTTATAATAATAGTAGTTCAATAAAAAAATCCATAAGCTCTTGGACTTTCTATACATCAAGTTTTTTAAATTTACATGTGGTTTTACAGTAACTTTCTTCTGAAGAAGCAATTGTTAGTAATATTAACAGTACTCAAAAAAGTTTTAAGTTTTTAAAAAATTTTTTCAATGGGAAAGTTAAACTTTTATTATTGAAATCTTTGTAAGAAAATATTTTCACAATAGCTAGTCAAAATATATCAGTTATCAAGCCTATGATTTGGGGTGTTTATCTTCTTCCCTTAGATTTTTTGTACTGTTCTTCGATGGATTATATTGCACTTGATTTTTTGCACTTATGATTACTGATTTTTACCTTAAACATTTGACTATATTTTTAATTAAAACTTCAGTAGTCTAGTATTCTAAAATATTTGGATGTTATAGATAGCAGTGGATACCAATGTTTATGGTTTAATATTAAGAAGAAAATGCTGTGCTTAACAGAAAAAAAGTTTGATCGGACTGAGCCCAAAAAGCCTCCTGTGCCATTGAGGACTGATCACCCAGTCATGGGAGTACAGAGTGAAAAAAATTTTGTCAGTTCAAATGCAGCAGATGTCATTATGGGAGTGGCTAAAAAGCCTAAGCCAATTTATGTTGACAAAAGAACTGGAGACAAGCATGATCTTGAAACTTCTGGACTAGTTCCAAAGTACATCAATAAAAAGGTAATGTTGTGATATATTAATTTTGGAACTAAAATTCAAATAGTTCAAATATAGTGCTCATAATGATTGTCTATATTATCATTAGTAGTGTTCTCACTAGACTAATTACCTAGATTGCCAATTCTTATTCTGCTGAAGTTTGTGTTCGTTGCAAATTGAATGTACTGAAATTTTAAATATATTTAATACTTATAACATTCTTTAAAAGATATTAATTTTAGGAGAGGTGGATAAATCATTAAAAGCACAGTGGTTACTATAAATCTAGAAGGAATAACCTTTTAGAAGATCCTAAGATTTAGTCACTAGGTTTCAGTGTCTTGGTAGCACAATAAGAGAAATAAATTTAGAGCCATCCATTCTATCAGAGTAGTATAACTAATTCACATTGTTATTTCAACCTGAATATATTCAGTTGTTAGTTTGAAGTAGAGCAGGCCTTGAAAGTACTGAACAACAATCTACTCCTTTTGGGGTTTTCATTTGTATTTGAAAAGGCACTAATAAGATAAACATATCATTTCATTGGTGAAAATTATAGAAGCTTGGGTTTCATTATTTAAATATAAAGATCTTTAAAATTTTTAAAACTTACCAGAAAACATTTTATAAAAAAAACATTTTACTTTGTATACTTGTAGAGCATAGAAGTACTTGAAACACATATAGTGAAATATGAGTACAAAACCTTAAAGAACAATAATGCATAATAATAAGGTGTGGCAAAATTAGAAAGGAAGAAAAAAAGAAATAAAATTGTATTAATGATGTATGAGGGACTTGCGTTGAGGTAGTCCAGTGATCTGCTGTGAGAAATCAAAACAGGAACCTCACGGCTGTTGTCAGAGAACACTGCTTATTCCGTGGGCTGAAACACCTTGGGAAGACTTTAGGAGAAGTCTGGGAGTTGGCAGCACCTGCTGATTAAGTTCTTTCAGGCTTCTCTGGATACTTCCTCCTTCTCTGGCCCCTGGAGACTGCTTACATCCCTTATCCCATAAGGTGTAGAAGAGCAGAAATTTCACTCTGCTGGCTCTTAAAAGCTATTTTCAGTCTATTGTTTACCCACCATCATGTAAAACTCTTATCTGATAGTCATACTGCCTGCCAATAGCCACACAGTCTGCCCCTCCTTCTGGTTGCCTTCTGCCTAAGCTGTCCACTTCAATGTACTTACTGCCTTAAACAGAAAATTGAACTAAAAATACATTACAGAGACAGGAAAATATTAAGTATGTGTACCTGTGCTTCTCTATCAAGTCGTACAAACACTACAGTATTACTGTCCCCTTGCTGTTGCTGGCTAAGCAATCAGAGCTCATGAAAGACTTTATTCAACTTTCCGCTTGTCAGAGTTAAGTTTTTTTAAAAAAAATCTATTATTGATCAGTGAGGTAGTAAGTTTTTTAAGGGCAATATCATTTTTTAAAAATGAGTAAACCTCATGTTTATTTCCAAATAAAATATTATATGCCCATTTGTGCCATGAGAAACAATTTGTGAAAACAAACTGAAGCATGAATGATTGTCTGAGTTATATAACAACAGTAATGACATCATTTCAAATTCTAACTCTGCCATTTACTTAACTCTGTGATCTTTAGTTATTAGGTTTATCACAGGGTTGGAGTGAGAATTAAGTGATGTAAAATATATTAATCACTTGGTATAATACCTGGCACCTAATAAAAATTCAATAAAGAATAGATATAATATATGCAATTATTAATATCAATAGTATGCATTACCCTTCAATGATCCAACACCTGCAAATATTTCAGATCACTGAAGCTTTTACCCGTTTGTGAAATTGTTCTTTTTCCTAAAATGTATCATGTTATTCTTTTTATTTAACAGGGTATGCCAAATATAATTTAATCTTTTGTCATAACACTAAATCATTATGACGAACATCAGTAATTGCACTGAGCTGCAATGAGGTGTTGCCCTCAGTGTTTCCTAGGATGGACTGGACTGTTTGCCAATGCACTGACTAACTGGAATACTGAGCTCTTAGTGTTTATTTATAGAGTGCTTTGTAGCTTCCCAGGACACATTCACAGCTGGGATTTCTATCCCTTGTTCAGGCAGGATGGGTTAAATTATGTTGTGGTAACAAATAACTCCCACATTTCAGTAACTAAAAGCAACTGTTATTGTTTGCTTGTGCCACATGTCCACTGAGAACTGTTGGAAGCTCTACTTCCTGTCCTCATTTTATGACCCAGGCAACCCAAAACATCTCCCATCACTATACCGGACAGAAAAAGAATATGGCAAGTCATCCATTAATTCTTAAGGCTTCTACCCAAAAGGTAGAGAGGTCACTTCCACTTACATTGGGCAAATCAGGTAACATAGCTACATCTTACTTAAAGGGCAAAAGGATAGTATTCTCCTACCAAGTGCTCAAGAACCAGAATACTTGTGAATATTTTGGATGACCACCACCTCTCTCAACAGCTGCTTCCTGAGAGAGGTCTTCCCTGACCTTGTTATTTATCTAAAATAGCTCCTATTACTTTCTCTCTCCTCACTGACTTTTATTTTACCTTGGAATATATATATATATATATATTATTTTATACCCTATTTTGGTTGAGTTTCTCTCACATTCCATAAGGACAGAAACTGTCTTTCTTATTCACTAATATACCTAGCACCAAGTACAAATAACTTTTTGAAGAATAAATAAGGAGTAGTTCTGGGTCTCAACACAGATATCTACTGCATATATTCACTAAACTGAAAGAATCATAGCTGATCACTTTACCATCAGTCCTTGTAAGCAGCATTTTTGCATTTCCTCAAACACTTAGGGTACCAAGTCAATGTTCTCTTAAAGCAGATGTGCTTTCTATCTTTTGAGAATTTGTTTTTATAATGCCTTGGAAGTATGTGTCTTCTTTTATTTAACAAGACCTTGCAAAAGAGACCTCAAGATATTTAAGATATTTCAAAGTAAAAGCTGAAGCAGAAGTAAAGAAAAGCTAGTTCTTAGAGGTAAAATAAGGGCTGAGTTATCAGCCAAGAGCAGGCACTTGAAAGATTCAGAATGGGGAAAACAACCTGCCACAAATAACAGCTCAAGTGGTTTTAAAACAGAGTCAACTGGTTCCCAATGGGGAAAAAGTTGACTGAATTTTGTCATTTTGAAGTGTTTTAAGTAAAGACTTTAAGTCTGTACCATTTCTTTTTCTCCCAGTTAATGGTTGGTATATACATGTGTATTAGAGTGCATTCAGGTTATTGATTTTTTTTTCCTGAAAAATCCTTGTAAGGATTATGGTGTCACGCCTGAATATATATGTAAGCGAAATGAGGAAATAAAAAATGCCCAGGAAGAATATGATAACTACATCCAGGAAAACCTCAGGAAAGCAGCTATGAAAAGGCTCTCTGATGAAGAAAGGGAAGCGGTGCTGGAGGTAAGTGTTCTGTAATTTCTAACCCTAGGAAATTCTTTAGAACACCTCTGAAAGAAAGGTCTGCCATCCATGATTAGTAAAGCTAGCACTTTGACTCTGCAACCTGATGACTTTCTTTTGGTTATGGTGACAACTACATGCAGCAAAGGTGACTCTTTGGGGAAAACACAAGTTGTAATGTGGGGATTATTATTTATTTCCAGTTTGGTGAGCTTCTATGTTTTCCTGAAGTAGTGTTGTAAGGAAGCCCACCTTCTCCTTCAACAAACATGCATAAATAAAGCAAAAAAAAAGGCATTTTTATTTTCATTCTCATGTCCTTGCATTTAAAAAGAAATAATACCCATAAAATAGATATTTTTCACTAGATGGAGCTCTAGAATAATTGAAACTGTCCCTAGACCAACATTGTTTTTTCTTTCCTATAAGCCAATGTTCAAGTTTTAAAGTATTCAGGTGTCCAATTTTACATGTATTTTCTTTATTTTTAATAAAATAAACTTAAAGATAATATTTTCATTGAATGTTGTGCAAAATTTTATCTGAAGCATTTAAAATATTGGGGATATGAGCAGGATTGTATTTATTAAGTACCCACTTGTACTCTTTTACTGTCATATGATCTCATAGAAATAAAAGTTGTGTTTGTTATTTTTGAAAGCTTTCTACAGAGCCATTTCTAGTGACCTTTTTAAAACAGAAAATCTTGTTTTCTTACTATATTAATTTGTGTTGAAAAATTGATTTATATGTTATAAATTCTTAATGTTTATTAGTGCTATAATATTCATCAATAAACATTTTTTAAATGCCTGTTTCACATAAAGTATCATGCTAAGTCCCAAGGATATTAAGAAGGGCATAAGAAAATTTCTGCTGTAGGAATGTTGTAATTTAATTGATGATTAAATTAAATTGCATGTCTGTACAGACCCTAAGTTTTATAAGGTTCCAAGGCACAAGTATCCACTGTAGGATATAGTTAGGTCATTAGCTGGGCCTTAAACTACACAGTAAGACGGGATCCAAGGACTGGCCCAAGGGCAGAGGCTGTACTGTGTCTCTTTGTTGACAGCAGTTTCCCCAGTGCCTAACCCCCTGCCCAGAATAAAAACAGGTGTTTAATAATGGTATCCTGGAAAGAAGAAAGAATGACATGCTGGCAGGTGACTGGCAGAACTGACTTGAGGCTTTCATATCATTTTTAGGAAGAGCCCTACTCTTTGGTCCATTCTTATTCTCACTCTCTCATTTGGATTCTACCATTTTTGGAAAGTACATGCTTTTGTAAAAGCCAGAATTTTATATCTAAATGATGCTGAGAAATAAGGAAAAAGAGCTTCCCTCAGAAGGAAAAGGCTCTTCCCTCATATACCTTTTTGCTATAATAGATAAACTGCCCTTACTTTCTAATCTACACACTACAGAGTTTCTTTGCATGCCCTTTGATGTGACACTAGCAGATCCTCCACCATTGCCTTATTAGCCAGGTAGTGTGGTAGTGGAGCCACCCTGCTAACAAGACCACTAGTTATGTTCCTGAGAAGCCCTGAACCATGCTTCCCTTTCTGGTTAAGCATTACCTATAGTTCTAAAACAATATGGTTGTGTATCTCTGAGCAGGCTACATTCTTCTGCTCATTCTTTATAAAATAACAGTACTTTCTACTTGGAAGGGATCATCTGATCTAATGATTCCAAACTCATTTTCAGATAAGAATATAACATGCAAATATGTTAAGGAGGCTCATTTGTTCATTCATCCATGGATTCATTTATTAAACATCACTGTATTCCAGGCACAGTCCCAGCCTGGAGGACACTATAGTGAGCAAAACAAATGCAGTCCTTAGCTGAAGAGGTACTAAAACCCACATCAGCTGATTCCCTGGCCAGTATTTTCCACTGCATTATATATGTCCATAGGAAGTAACCAGAGGAAGCTCTATCAGTCAGGGCTGAAGCAGGAAATAGTAGGCACACCCAGCTGGGACTCTGAAGAGAGTTTTGAAGGAACTATTTGCAGATATGAAGCAGGGCTAAGGAAACCAACAAGGAACACTGAGGAACCCAGGACTAATGACAGTGGGAAGCCGCAGCTATCTGAAGCTTGAAGAGTAGGGCAAGAAACCGTCATACCAGAGCCCAGTGAGAACTGGATCCTAGAAGACCAGCCACCTGACAGGCATTGCCACAGATGGATAAACCAGAACTAGGATCAGGTAACATCAAGAGAGAAGGGAAAGGAAGGTACCAACCTCTCTATCCCATCAGTGGGGCCTTTGGCTGAACTCAGGCAGAAGCCAGAGGACAAAAGTGCTGGGGGGTGGAGTGTAGTCCACAAAAATCAACCCACCGCACTTCACTCCTAGTCACAGTGAAGGACAAGAGGGTGAAGAATGGATGGGGTGGGGCAGATACAAAAGAAGCATGAAGCTGGATGAAGGTACTGTTTTATGACTGCTTCTCCTCATTTGAAGTTTTTCCAAAATTAACAATCTTGTTTCAGCATAAAAATAGAAGTGAGAAAAATTCAGAAATAAAAATAAGGGAAAATCACTATTGCTCCAATGGATAAGAGATTTTTTCAGTTAAGATAACGAAAGTCTTAAAAAACAGCAAAGAGGTTATTTTAATATAATATGAAACACTACTTACATTTAATTCCCATTCCTGGCTATTGACTTTGATCCAAACGTCATTGTACACACTGGAAGATAAAGCAAACTATGTTTTAAAAAGAAATACAGAGAAAAAATGTAGCTGCTGTGACCACAAGTAATATGGAAATATGACACAACTAAAAAATTAATAAAGTATAAAAATTTAAAAATATATCACCCAACAAGAAATGAAAAAGCTTTGATATTTGAAGTGTATACATTTTCTTTTGCAATAGGCACCCCTGTGGAGCACTGTGGAAACATATTTCCTATTAAACAATGAAGGATGATGGAATCATAGAATTTTTATGAGAATTTCTTTTAGGAATATATCTTGTTTACTATTAAGAACTATGTTAAACCATCCCACTCTTAAAAACTTAAACTGTCCACTTTTCCTTCTGTCATTCTCCTTTCCCAAAGCCTCCATATAATCTCATTCAAGGGTTCAAAATTTGTTATTCTTTTTTTCAACCAACCTATTCTATATAACATGCCATATCCTATAATTATTTTTACTTAAGCATAGCACAAGTCACTGAAATTTTATTGTCCCTGGAAAGTTTCTACAAGATCAGATTTTTACTATAAGGCTTTATTGTGAAGGCATTATTACCATATATAAGACACTTTTAACCTTTTTCTAAACCTAAATGTTTAGCCATGATTTTCAAGGACCATATTGCCATGGTGATATTTTCATTGTACTTTCAGTTTTACATTTTCTTTGTAAAAAAAAGTGATTTGAGTATCCATAGTGAATAAAAGAAAGTGTTAATTTACAAACTTTCATTGCATGAATTCAATTAGTGGTTTAATACCATTTTGTCAGTGGGGCTTTTAGTGCACTGTGATAAGAAATTGTAACTGTGCAGAGATAGAAATAACTTTTATTTCTCCTAAGAGATCCCTAGTGTTGAATTTGTTGCTTACTGAGAATATAAAAAATTAACTGCATTATTAAATTAGCATGTGTGTTATGTTTAATGACATTTCAGTCATTTCTAGAATACATTAATGGGAAGTAGAGATCCCTTGGCTCTATGGAGGAAGAATTCCAATATATTGAAAGAGATATAAAAGATAATCTCTTGTGAAACTGAATTTTGGCATTTTGTACAATTCCATTTAGTCAGGTCTAAGAAAATATGGCCATGCAAGTCAGAATCAAGTCTTTTGATGTGATTTCTCTGTTGAAGAATGGGGATGATGGTTTGAAAAGAAAATCCTAAAAAAATATTTTTTTAATTTTCATAAGAAATAATTTTCTGGCCATGACTGGTGTGGCTCAGTTGGTTGGACATCATCCTGCAAACCAAAAGTTTGAGGGTTCAGATCCCAGGCAGGTCACACGCCTAGGCTGAGGTTTCAGTCCCTGGGTAGGGCACATATGAGTGGCAACCAATTGATGTTTCTCTCTCACACTGATGTTTCTCTCTGTCTCTTTCTCCCTCCCTTCCCCTCTCTATCAAATCAATAAGCATGTCCTCAGGTGAAGATAAAAAAATAAGAAGAAATTTTTTAAAAGAAATAATTTTCTGTTCAAAAATGTTTTTTGCCTCACCATCTCAATTCTAAGTTATTGTTTTTACCAAAACATTTGTTGTGTGCTGAGTTTCATACTACTCATAACTCGGCATATGAATATTTGATGGTAAAAGCAAGTACAATAACCTTAAAAACAGAGCAAATAAATACTCCCAATGGGAACTGAGCACACAATCAGGACAGGGTTTGACCTTTGCACAGCATTTGTTGTTACTGTGGCCAAGTACTTGATAAATACATATCATTTTAAAAGTCCTCTTTGTCCATTTTTTAACCTGTTTACATTTTTCTTACTAGTACAGTTTTCTTCACTATTTATAATTTACTTTCCTTTTAAAGTTTACTTTAGTATTTAGTTTTCTTTACCATTTGCAGGGGCTGAAAAAGAACTGGGAAGAGGTGCATAAGGAGTTCCAGTCCCTCTCGGTCTTTGATTCCATGCCAAAGAAAACCCGCAAGCAGAAGCTGGAAGAAAAAATGAAGCAACTGGAACATGACATTGGTGTTATAGAAAAGCACAAAATTATTTATATTGCCAATAAATAATAATGTAATTTTAATATAGGAAAAAACATGGAAAACCTACAAATGAAACTAAGTCTTTCAAGGGAAAAAATACTATGAAAAGAATAAAAATAGTCTTCACCGAGTGCTTAAGCAATGTTTAAAGAATAATTGGATTTTTTCCTTATACAAGATAATTTTCTTTTACCAATTTAAGGTTTTCCATGTATGCACTAATTAAACAATGATGTTATCTGTTACAGTTCTAGAGTGTATTATTATTATGTACTTGTTTCACATAAACATTAATTTCTGAGCCCTGAAAAATAAAGTCAGTACATAGTATTCACATTTTTCTATACTCCATGATTCAAGGAACACAACATTAAAAACTGTTGAGTATTTTGAATAGAAATAGTGGCATATGCCTTCTTTACTACACTAAAGTATTTTCAGAGCTCCACAAACTTAACAACATATATTCTCTGGTAACTCTGTCATTTTCAGCTATTTCCCACTATACGTATTTTCAATATCCACAATGTTATTTATGCTGGAAGGCTTCTATTTGGAGGAAGAACTATTAAGAAGGTAACATAAAATCAAGGAAACAACTTATAAAATGCATCATTAAAAAGAAAAGCCTCCTTCCTGACATCAAACTTTAAAAAACTTTACTACTATATGTATTTCACTAAAATAGGATGCTACTTTTTCTTTTTGGTTCTTCCAATCTATGAACATGGGATATATTTGTCATCTTTAATTTTTTCATCAATGTTTTGCAGTTTTCATTGTACAAATCTTTCACCTCCTTGGTTAAGTTAATTTCTAAGTATATTTGATGCTGTTCTAAGTAGAATTATTTTGTGATTTTTCTTTTCAGATTGTTCATTGTTAGTGCACAAGAATTGCAACTGCTTTTTGTACGTTGACTTTGTATCCTGCTACTTTGCTGAATTCATGTATTAGTTCTAACAGATATCTTTGTGTGTGTGTGTGGAATCTTTAAGGGTTTTCTACATATAAGTTTATACAATTTGCAGGCAGCTAATTTTACATTTTCCTTTCTCATTTGGATGCATTTTATTTATTTTTCTTAACTAATTAATCTGGCTAGAATTTCCAGTACTATGTTGAATAGAAGTGATAAAAGTAGGCATTCTTGTCATTCCTGAAAGAGCTGTCAGTCTTTCACCATTTAGTATAATGTTTGCTGTGGGGTTTTAATGTATGGATTTTATTATGTTGAGATAATTTCTTTCTATTCATAATTTTGTGTGTGTGTGTGTGTGTGTGTGTTTAATCATGAAAGGTGCTGTAAACATCAGTTTTGAAACTAAGAAATATCTTTCACCTGAATGATCAATGCATTCTCTCCTAGTTGTCAAGCTATCAAGTTATGTGGGAAGACAAATAATGACCAAAAGGGTATCTTAGCTAGAACAGAGTCAAAAAAAAAAAGAAATTTAGTTTGTAAAAATTTGTTCAGCTAACAGAGCTCATTCATTGTCATTCAACAAATACTGTCTATTACTTGCTAGGAACTGTTGTGATTGCTGGACAGAAAAGTGAAATAGCTATGTTGGAAGACAGAAATAATCACACAAATTCATTTATAATTATAAATTGAAATTAGTAATTTGAAAGAAAAAATAGAAAGTTATATAGGAGAAGATCAAGGAATTATTTAATTAGATTTTATAGTTAAGGAGATGCTTTTCTGAGGATGCCTTTATGAGATCTGATATTTAAAAACATACTAAAGAATTAGCAGAAGTTGGGAGAGATGAGGAAATAAGGGTTGTGGAGGGAAAAGAATTCCAAGCAAAAAGAATAAAATATCTGAAGGATCTCAGGCTGGAAACCCTCAATCCATAGGGGAAAGGCAGCCATTGGGGCTGGATTGGGTTTAGAGAAGGGAAAAGCTACAAGCTGAAGCTGAAGAGGGAAGCAAGGGGTCATTGAGGTGTTTTAAGCAGGGTGCAACTGATATTTTTAAATGCTCACTTGTCACATAGATTGTAGTGAAAGAATGAATGCATGGGGGAGACTATCATAATCTTCCAGGTAAAAAAGTGATTGGCATAGACCAAGGCTGTGGTAGTTAAGACACAGAGTAGCTGTTGGCTTCATGAAATATTTAAGAAGTAAAAATGTAATTTGGTGATAGATTGAAAAGAGAAGAAGGGAGAGGTTTCAAGATGACAACCAAATTTCTAATTTGAGCAACTCAGCAGTGGAGGTGCCATTTTCTGACCTGGAGAAACTTAAAGGAGGAGCAGATTGGAAAAGGTTACCATGAAGAGCAAGAACACAATTTTAGACATGTATGTATGTCAATGTTGTGGCATATAATTGGAAATTTAGATCAGATAGATACATGATGATAGAAGATGATAGATAGATAGATAGATGATAGATGATAGATAATAGATTATGGGTGATAAATATTTCAGTCAGAAAAGAGATCTGGGGTAGGTCAATGAATGTGGGAATTCAACAGCGTAAATGAGATCACCTTGAGACTTGTATTGAGTGAGAAGACAATGAATGAGGTCTCACCAAATCTTTCATTTAGAAGTCAGATGGGAGAGCAGGAAGGAGAAAGTAGATGGAAGAGTGCCCTGAGAGGTCAGAAGAAAACCAGGAAGCCAAGAAAATTCAAGAAAGGAGTACCTTTTCTCTAAGGTAGAACCTTGACAATTGGAATGAACTTCTCAACACTTTGGCTGAGCCTTCTTCTCCCCTGCTCTGAGCTGGCTACAGATCAACTTCTACATTGACTCCCCTGCTCCTGTTTTTATTTCCAGTCCAAACTCTTCTGTTGAAATTCTTTTTATCTTTCTCAATACATTGTTGTCACTGGCCAATGTCACAACATTAGCATGTGATTTAATGTGTCTATTAATACAACCCACATGAACACAATTTGACCACCAAAGTGAAAGAAGCTTTTCAACAGCTCAAGAAAAAATTTCAGCAGTTAAGGAGGCCAATGCTGATTAATATCATAATTAACTCTTAAGCAAGTAATTTAATTTCATTTTCAAGTTCTTAGTAACCTGCAGAATGTGATTTATTCATAAACACTGGTTACTACAAATAGACAATCATAGATAAGGGACAAAAGAATAAAATCACTTTCCTGGAGGGTTTGTTTCTTTCTGCCGAAAGGTGCAATAGTGAAAAAAATTAGTGGATTTGACTCTGACAGTAAGTTATGTGATTTTTGGGAAATCACTTACTGTCCTTCAACCTTAGTTTCATCTGTTAAAAAAAAAACTGACCTAGATTTTGTTCAACCCTCCTTTAAGTTCTAATGATGTAGCACTATAAAACTATATGACTATTTTCAACTTAGTTCAAGCAAAAGTTTGGTCTTCTAACTGATCAGAATGCAGATAAGTGCTAGAGTAGAGGATCTAGAGCCAAAGATTTGTACCAACCCTCATCAGACCAACCCACCATTTGACATACTGGAAAGAATGTTAAGTAGAGTAAAAACCATCACTAGTTTTCAGATCTTTTTAGATGAAAACTTTCTTAATTATAGTCATTTGAGGTTTTTAACCACAGGGTGCTCTTCACTGTAAGGATTTTAAATAGATGGTCTCTTTAGGAAATTAGTGCTGAAAGAAAAAAGGAAGGGAGAGCAGGAGAGAAGAAAGATGGAGAGAAGGACAGGAGGAGAAAATTTTTAAAAGAAATGGGATATCTTTTAGCTGGAAAGAGTGATTCTAGTCACAGAAGAACATTTTCTCTGGTCATGCCCAGCCTCTGTGCTCTTTGAAAATATCTCTGATTAAAAAATAAATCTTACCTTTATAATAAAAAAAATTGTTTCATTCATTGCTGAATGAGGACTGGGGTGGCAGCATTTTTTTCTTCACATATAATGTGCTTGATGAGAAAGAACTGAAATTAACAATAGACTAAGTTAATGCTAATTATCCCTGAAAACTGAAGATAATGTTTCACAGGATTGGTGGGAAAAGGCCATATACATATAAATTTTAAACTGCACATGCAGATATGACTTTTAGATGCAGACTTTTTATTGTAAAGGATACTACTTCTATAGGAAATAAGATTGGATGGTGATATATATTTTTGACTGCCTTAATTTAGGCACACAAATGAGTGTTGTCTATGGAACAAGGATATACACTTAGCTAAATGATGTTGCTGATGTGAAAAATATCTGTGGAATTCTTATGGAATAAAAGTATCCACCCCACCCTAAACCTCTTCCACCAAGTTCTCCTTTCCTGAGACTGCCAATGTTATAAATTTTTATGTAGCTTTCAGAAATGTTTTGTAAAAGCAATGAATATATATGTTCTCACAAAAATATACATAATTATATATACATATATTTCACTTTTTAAAAACTCAAATGACAGCATGCAATAACACTGGCCTTTCTCAGTTAATAATCTCATGGAGCTCATTTTTATCAAAACATAATGTTCATTCTTTTTTTGTGGATGCACAGTATTAAATTGTTCATATATTTCACCAGTGTCCTATTGACGCGCATTTAAGTTACTTCATTTAAGTTGTTTTCAATATTTGTTATTCAAAGCAATGCCACAGTAACTCTGAACATTCATCACTTCACACATTTGGTTATATCTGTAGGAAATCATTCCCAGGAGAAAAATAACTAGGTCAAAAGATATACATGGGGAAAAAGCTCCAGAAAAGGACTTCCAGCCAAGATGGAGTCATGGGTAGACACACTGTGCCTCCTTGCATAACCAAAATAAGGACGACAACAGTTTAGAAACAAAAAACAACCAGTACTGACAGAAAATTGAACTGTATGGAAGTCCAACAACCAAGGAGTTAAAGTGGACACATTCACCCAGACCGGTAGGAAGGGCGGAGTTGGGCAGCAGCTGGGTGGAGAGGGGTCGAGGCAAAAAAAAGGAGTGGCTGGTGGGCTGAGGGAGCAAAAGGCAGCAGTTGGCGGACCCTGGGTATGCAAGGCAGCAACAGGCAGACCCATGAGGTGGCGGATTGTGTAGGGGCACAGT